AGAGAGAGCTTCACATGGCGGCCTCCATTTCAACTTCACCTTATCCTCTGCTCACCTCAGAGCGCTCCAACCGCTTCCCTGCCAATGACTCCTCTTCTTCCTCCAGGTTTTCCTCCTCCTCGTCTCTACACCTTCCGCCCCAGTTTCGCTGTTTTCGCCTCGGAAACAATGGGATTTCAGCTCCCTCGCGGTCTCGAATCTTGCCCGTGGTAATTTAATTTTCTCTTGTTTTTGATCTTTATGTCATTTTAATGGAGGAATCTGACACAGAAATTAGGGTATATGGAGTATGGACCTCCCTTTCGTTCGCATCTAATTTTATAAACGTGTTATTTCTTGGGTTTATTGGCCTGATTGATGCTATGAACAATCTGGAGGGTGAACTTGATGTAAATTAGTTGTTTTAATGCTTCTGGAATTCATTTTATATAAATTTTGATTGAAACATTGTTTGCTGCCTTTTTCACGGGAATTGAAACTACATGGCTCAAGTCAATAGTTCGCTGATCTAGTTGCATCTTAGATTTTACCTTATAAGATAGAATATCCTATAGGGTTCTATTTTTTTCAGGTTCATCTGCAAATTTAGTTCTTAAAATGGTTTTCTTGCAGTACTTGTTCATCCCGAATGATTAGAAAATTTTTGTTTCCCTTTTTGTCAAGACGTCCTGCTCCTTGCTACAACTGTTGCATTCATATTTTCCCTGATTCTTAAGTAGCTTGTTTGAATGTGGATGACAATTTGTGTTCAAACTGTTGTAATGAATAATGATGAATTTGTGTGTACAAATTAACTTCTGCAGGTCAAAGCAAAGAACCAGACATTTTCCTCCTTTGATGATTTACTGGCCAACTCTGACAAACCTGTGTTTGTCGACTTCTATGCAACTTGGTTAGTCTCTCTCTCTCTCTCACATATGCACTCGCACTTGCACACACATATTTTCAAAGTACTCTTTCTAGAAGAGCATTGCATCAAAATTTATTTGCACAAAATCTGTGGAGTCACTTTTTTATGTATCATTTCAAAATAATCCAGTGTTACTTGGGGAGAAATTTTACCTTGTGAATTCGACTCAATAGGCTAGTTAATTGCTCAACTACCAAGGAGAAATAAAGTTAGTAGGTTGCTTCAATTGTAAAACGGAGAGCTTCGTTGTAGAAAGAAGTAATGTAATGTTCCTAAGTGATGAGTAAACCTAGTTTCTCTGCAGGTGCGGTCCTTGTCAGTTCATGGTTCCTATTCTTGAAAAAGTTAGTGCTACGCTGGGCGACACAGTTCAAGTGGTGAAGATTGACACGGAGAAATATCCTGCCATTGCTGATAAATACAAAATAGAGGCATTGCCTACGTTCATCCTCTTCAAAGATGGAAAACTACTTGATCGATTTGTAAGTGAAAGCTTTGTCTCATTTCTAGTGATTTGGAAGGATATCCAATATACAACTTATTGTAGCAAAATTCTGTCAAGTTCTAGATGCGTGAAGACACCACTTACATGTTTCATAATCTTATTCTATTACACCATTGTTCTTTTCCTTTTATTTTTCCAAAGTTGAATGAAAATGGGAAAATTTTACCATTGATTAGGTATGCCAACAATTGCCTCATAAAAATAAAAAAAAGATTAGGTATGCGAAGAAAATCTGTAATTAAGTTAACACTTCCAGTTTCTATAAAGACGTATGCCCATGTTTATAATGTTTAGTTACCTCCGGGTGAACACATTAGCACATCTTTTTTACTAGACTTCAACTATTTCGCCTTTTCTTTTATTTGTAGAGAAATCTCATTAACAAGCTTTAACTGTTTAGACATTCCGGTTGATGGGGCTTTCAGTTTCTTCTGTTATTATTTATTTTAAACATGCACCCGAATGATTTATATGCAGGAAGGAGCTTTGACTGCACGTGATCTCATCCAACGCATTGAAGATTCCCTGAAGGTTAAGCAATAACGCTGGTGAGACTCTATGTCCTGATTGAAGAGATTATCTAAACTTGCATGCTTAGAAGGTTTAACGCCGCATACAAAATCAACAAGAAAACAATCAATCTCTCAATTTGAGATTTATGGGGGCAAACCTGGTAATTTTATTTTTTCTCGAGAAAAAAAATTGATGGAAAAACCATGCTTTCTTTCATAGAGCAAATGAAAGGATATACAACAAACCAATTCAAATCGAATGGACCCAAAGCACAACAATGACAAAGGCCATATAAAGTATAAACCAAAATGAAGGACTCCAACTGTAAAGAATAAGAAACAGATTGATAGAATCCGAACTACTAACAATATATTGAAGTATGAAATATGAAAGATAGAATAACTACAATATCACCCAAGTAATTTGAGGTACTTGGACCCTTCTCCTTTTGAGTATTCTTACTCAAGCCTAAACCATACTACTAATTGCATACCTTCACCCTTTCCCCCTCCCTCTTTTTATAACTAAACCTCCTAACCCAATTACCAATATACCCTTAATACCCTAACAATAACCCTAATCTATCCTAATAGCAGACCTATCACAGATAAATACAAAACTCTTCAGTTACCAACACCCAGAGATATTGAACCTAGTCGCAGACCAAATCTCCCTCCAAGATAATGACCAAATCTCGCTCCAAGATCTCCCATCCTTGTAAAGATCAACCTTGTCTCTGAACAGAGGTTGGAATACAACCTCCTCTGCCATCAAGTGACAACAGACTAGAGAAATCGTAAGACTCCACATTTGTATCTAAATCCAAAGAAGCAAAGAGATTGTTGCTACCAATGATTTTTGTTAACACCACCATTTTTTTAGTTGCTAGAACTCTGGTTTTCTAAAACTTCATTTTTTCCCATAAAATTAAGAAGGATATTTCATTGATATATGATCTATACAAAAATGGGAGACTCCCAACAACTGGCAGAAAGACCTCCAAATTTTTCATAAGGTCATTTAGGCTGCTACTCTGTGAATGGAAAGAAAAACATTCACCACCCAAGCACAAAATAAAAATTTTACCCATGTCACAAGGGGAGATTAGTTTCTGAAGATTTTGTTGTTTCTCTCCGACCAAAAGACTCCATAGGAAGGCTCTGATAGTTGCAGCCATTTGATTTCTCTCTTTTTGAAAGGATGGCCTATCAGGATGCAATGGAAGAGTTTACATTTCTGTGAAGAGGAATCTGTCATCAAAAGCTTCAAAAAGCTGATTCCATAATTTTTTAGCAAATTCACCAGTTATGAAAAGATACCCTTGAGATCCAGAATTCTTCATGCACGTAGCACAGCAGCTTGGGGAGATACCCAAATTAGGGAATTCCTTTTGTATGATATGTTCTAATGAGTGTTGGGAGTTATGGCTTATTTTCCAGTAGAAGAACCTGATCTGATGTTGAAGCTGTGTATCGTGGGACATACTTTCCTTTTGACCACTGTCTTTTGAGGTTGACCCAGCAAAGTTCAAATATTCTGCCATTGTTTGATCTGCGTGCAGTACCCCTGGATATAGGTTTTAATATAGGTTTCAAATTGTCTCTTTTTTCTCCCATCAGTTTCCACCGGTCAAGGGGTAGTCTGAAATCTCTTCAAGTTTCCTTTCATGCTCCAATAGGGCCAATTTCCCTTGCTACCTTCATGTCTTGTCTAGTACGAAGAACGACCTTCTCATAGAAGAGTTTCTTGAACCTTGCCCAGATAATTGGGTTTTTAGCAGCATTTCAAGTTTTTTAGTCATGTTCCATCATTATTTGCTACTTTATTCAGCAGATAAGTGGCACAAGTCATCTACTGGCTATTGTTGCATTCGCATTCCTTGAAGTTATAGACTTTGTAGATTTCTTATAATTTAATACCATCAAAGGTGTATGGATGAAAGCTTCGTGCATAGCTCCATTACATTCTTATCTCATTGTTAATCAAAGACAACTATAGTTTTTGCCCTCATAAAACATGAGGACCTCTTGTCGTACTCCATGACACCTCTTAGTGTTATTGAGTTTTCATAGTGAATATTTTTTTGGTTCATGAGTGTTCTCGCACATTAGAATCCACTAGTTCTCTGTTTTTTTTTTTTT